GTGCTCCCCAAGTAGTGAGAATGTCCCTGCCAGTCACCGTCCTAGGGAACTACACTCAAGCATCAAGCCTCCATAGCTTTGAACTGTGTCTGAGCATCTGTGCTTTATCTCAATTGATTTTGTGCATGCGTTAGCAAGAGCTGCCCTAAGGTTTCAGAAAAGCCTAAGAATGCTCAAAATATTTTCCCTGTAAGTTAATGGTGATTGCTTCTCCACTGTCTCATTTCAGTTTACAAAAAGTTTCATAGGAATGCTGTACTTTTTTGGATAGTGGGGGAAACCCATATTTGCCAAGTGCTTGCAATATCCTACTTTAACTGTCACTTTTAACCCATGAGGTACATGTGATTCTTTTTCTTTTCTTTTTTTTTTTTTCATATGATTCTGAAGCTTAGAGGCTCTATCCATAGTATATGGAGGTGAGGAATTTAAACCCAGGCAGTCATATTTCAAACTGTATTCTTCACTGGGTTATTCTGCTTCCACATGTAGACTACAGGAGAGAAAAGAGGCTTCAGAGAGGTTAAAGCAACTTGCTCAGAGTCACAGCTAATAAGTGGCACAGCCAGGATTCAAATCCAGAGCTGTCAAAAACAAAATTTATGTTCTTCCCATCCCCACCCCCACCCCCACTGTCCCTTTGCTTCCTTGGCCTACAGAAGGACATTGGACACAGGGGCCAGAGGAGTCCTGGCCCTGTGAAGTGGGGTTATATTCCTAGACTTTAGGAAACTTGCCTAAACCCTTAACTGCTGATCTGCCTAGGATGAAATTGGTCCTATTGCTGTTGGCAGTTGAGCAGGTCCTATTATGCTTCCAGAATTTATTATCATGGTTCCAATTTTCATTTACAGTCTTGCATATTGGAGGCTGAGCTTGACAATATGGCTGTGAGGGTTGGGATTCACACTTCATTGAGGCCACCTGAACTCACCAGTCTCTGGACTGCACTGTTGTTGCTCTTTGTTCAGATCCCTGTGACCTCTCACCTCCACTATTACAGAAGCTGCGCCCCTGGTGTCCTGTGTCTGAATGGGGCCAGTTAGCTGTTGAGCATGCTGGGGCCTCAACCATGGGTGTGGCCAGGGAAGTGGTTAAACAGCAGGAAGACTGGAGATATTGATCTGGCGTGGAGATACCCAGTGAAGGCATCCTGCTGTCCAAAGCACTGTGGCCAAAGGGTGTGACAAGGTTAGGTAGGTAGGCCACCATCCCAAAACAGGAGGCCCAGTGTGTCAGTGGGGGAAGCCCTAGGGAACAAATGGACTTGGTGTCCTGGGAGGACCCGGAAGAGATGAAAGGAGGGAGGGAGAAAGGAAGGAAGGAAAAAGCCTTTGTGGCTGGAGCTCAGAGAATGGGTGGAGTTAGAAGTTGTTGAGATGAGGCAGGAGATCCGGCATGGCATTTTTAGCATGTTAAGTATTTTAGGACTTTATCCTCAACTTCCTAGAAGCCAGTGATTCTGGGGAGAGTGATAAGATTTGATTTGTTTATACCAAAGATCACTTGACTGCAGAGAAACTGAAGGCAATGAGCCCCACTGGTAGACTGTCACAGTGAGAGGCTGGAGTGGTTTGGTGTATAGTGGCGGGAGTGGAGATGGAAAGAAATCTAGGTAGACAGAGGACGAAAGGGACTTCCCAGCAAGACAAAAGTATCTGCCAAGCCATGGAGGTGGGGGAGTGGCTCGTTCCTTGAATATGCAAGTTCTGTACATGGTGGTTATACCACACCTACACATAAAATTTGATAATCCTTTTTTTAAAATTTTTATTTATTTATGATAGTCACACACAGAGAGAGAGGCAGAGACATAGGCAGAGGGAGAAGCAGGCTCCATGCATCGGGAGCCGGACGTGGGACTCGATCCTGGGTGTCCAGGATCGTGCCCTGGGCCAAAGGCAGGCACCAAACCGCTGTGCCACCCAGGGATCCCTGATAATCCTTTTTCAATTAATGTTACCTAATCACTTTCCATATTGCCACACAGATTTCATAGCCATTGTTTTTTAAGATTGACTATCATTTAATAGCTCTAACATGGTCCAATTTTGGGGTAATTAATTGATTCCTCCTTAGAGCTAATATAATTAATGTGTTAGTAACTGTTTTAGATTATAAAGTTCCCTCAATCTCACCCATAGAACCTCCCTGCACCCCCAAATCCCCCATCACCATATTTTTGTATTTTGTGGTCATTTCTTTAGGGACAGATTTGCAGGAGTCACATTACGGGGAGTCTAGGAGTTTTTTTGTAAAACTCTTTTTAGGTTGTCAAATTGCTTTCCAAAAGGGTCATTCTAAATTATAATTTCACCAGCACTGTAGGAGAGGACCATTTTCATGCTTCCCTTACCAGAATTGGGTGTAATAACATTTAAAGAATGATATTTGATAAGGTAAAAACAGTACTTTAAAGTTAATACTTTGTGATTAGCCTTTCCCCCCAATTAATACTGAGCTTAAACATTTTTTTCATGTTCATTACCTAAGTATGTTTCCTCTTTGCTTACTCAGTTTCATTGCCTCTTTATATACTGAGGGAGAAAGTCTTTCAGTTATTTATATTTTAAATATAACCACTGACCATTTTAACAAGTTCTTTTCCACTTTTAAAAAGTTAATCTTTTTACAAACAACTCTTTATATAGATATATCTATTGACTCTTTGTGATTTTTATTGCACCTAAGCTTATATTCTCCTTTCAAATGTTACTCAGTTTCAATTTCTTCCATTATCACCTGATTTTACATTTAAGTCCTTAATATAAGTGAGACAACTAAATAGCTTATTTTCAAATTGGTAGCAGTTATTCCAGCATATTTGTTGGATTCCTTCTGACAAGTTATGATGTGTCCTATAACACATATTAAAGTTAATTTGTACTTAAATTATTATTCTATTTTAATTAGTCTCCCTATATATAGTGACAATTTGAACCATTATAATAGGTTTTAATAGTTGGTAGAGCTAAGTCCCCTTCTTTATTCTTGTTTTAGAATTTTCTTTAATATTTCTCCTCAACATTTGAAACATTTTGTCAAGTTTCAATGCGTATTTATTGACTTGGGATTTTTTTTTTTTAAATATGCTTCATGCCCAGGGTGGAGCCCAATGCAGGGCTTGAACTCACCACTCTGAGATCAAGCCCTGAGCCAAGATCAAGAGTTGGAGGCTTAACCAACTGAGCCTCCCAGATGCCCTTGGACTATTTTCTTTTTTTTTTTTTGAGTTAAAAAATCTGGCTACAAGAGTAATACATATTAGTTTAGAAAATTCAAAAAGGGGATCCCTGGGTGGCGCAGCGGTTTGGCGCCTGCCTTTGGCCCAGGGCGCGATCCTGGAGACCCGGGATCGAATCCCACGTCGGGCTCCCGATGCATGGATCCTGCTTCTCCCTCTGCCTGTGTCTCTGCCTCTCTCTCTCTCTCTCTCTGTGACTATCATAAATAAATAAAAGTGTTAAAAAAAAGAAAAATATGTTAAAAAAAAGAAAATTCAAAAAGTGAAAACCAGAATTTCACTGTTTATTAAATTATGTACTACTCAATCAGATGCCATGCATTGTTCCAAGTGCTTACAAACAGTAACTAATTTTGCGTATACAACCATCTAAGTAGAATAATTTTTTTCAAGTGGAAAAGTTTTATAGTAAAGAATAGTAGTTTTGCAGTAAAGGAAACGGATACTATTGCAGTTTTACAGATGAAGGCACTTGACCAAAGTAGGCAGTGTTGTTACAGTGACCTACGCTCAACACTTTGCGTTGCCGCCATTCCATCAGACACGATAATTATTATTAATATTTTGATAATTATTCACATTTATTCTTGCTGTCAGACTACTTTAAGTCTTTTATACAGTGGGATATCCATGTGCATACCTTGTGTGATCTTTTCACTTACAGATACGCCATGAACACTTATCTATACCCTAAACTTTTCACAATATTATTTTTAATGACCATTTAATACTTCTCGTGTGCATGTGGAACAAGGCATTCAATTAATAACTTGATTCGGAATAGTTTGTTTCCCATTTTTCCCTGCAGCTAACACTGCTGAGATGTAAATTCTTGAGGCTTTTCCCATGTCCACGATCTTTTTTTTTTTTTTTAAGATTTTATTTATGAGAGGAGAGAGAGCAGGTGCACCCAAGCTCAGAGGGAGAAGGAGCAGCAGACTCCCTGCTGAGCAAGTAGCGGGACTCGGGTCTGGATCCCAGGACCTGAGCAGAAGGTAGACGCTTAACCAACTGAGCCACCCAGGTGCCCCACGTCCACAATCTTTTTATTAGAAATTCTAAAACTGGAAATCGCTGGGCCTAATGTTCTATACATTTTAAAGGCTTTGGATGCCCACTGCCTGTCCTCTGGACGGGGTGATGCTAATTCGTCGCTCTAAGTGCGATAGGGACCTGCTCCCGTCTCCCCCACTGAGTCACTCAAAGGAGAAGCAAAATCTACCAATTTGGGGTCGCCGCACGGATTTACTGAAGATCCCTGAATTCGCCCATTCACTGCCGACCTCGGAGAAACGGCCCTTTTGCACGAGCAGGCACCTGTCCGATGCACCGCAGCCCTGCGTGCAACACGGAAGAACGGCAAAGAAGCAAACGTTCCCCAGGCGGGCAGTGGCGCGGCGAGCCGCCCCGCGGGCGTCACGGTGAAGGCAGGACCGTAGGTTTTCGCGGGGACCGGGAGCGCGGCTGTTCTCGGAGCCTCGGCTCCGGCATCCGCTCTTCCGACGTGCTCCGCCCGGGGCTCTGCGGCCGGCGGCCCATCCGGGCGCGCGCCCCGGCCAGACCTTGGCGGGCGAGCCGCTGCTAGCCGAGGGGACGACCCGGCCCAGCCCAGCCCCGCGGTCAGCACCGGCCCGGCCCTCGCCGAGCCCCTCGCCGAGCCCTTCGCCGCCCCACCTTCCTCCTGGGGGCGCAGGGAAGCCGGACCCTTGGGCGCGGGCGCACGTTTCCGCGGGCCCCGCGCCGCCGCGCACCAAGCGGAAGTGGCCGTGTTGTGACGGAAGGAGATGCTTTGTGGGAGCCGCCGGCGCTTGAAGAAACGTGGCCCGCAAAGATGATTCAAGCGATTCTGGTGTTCAACAACCACGGGAAGCCGCGGCTGGTCCGCTTCTACCAGCGTTTCGTGAGTGCGGCGGCCTAGCTTCCTCCCGTCCCTTCGGCGCGCCCGTGTAGTCCCCACCCCTCGCTCCCCTGCCGGCTCCGGCCCCGGGCGTGACTCTCCCTCTCCGCGCTCCTGGAGGGACCCGGGCGGCTGTCTGTCCGTCTGTCCACCCTCGCGGTCCCTCACCCCTCCCTGGACCCTCGCATCTCTCGGCTACGTGTGACACTTCCCCTGAGGTCTCAGGGCGCGCTGAACGACGGCGGGGGTGTGCCCCACCGAGCTCTCGCCTGGTGGAAGTCCCTTTAATCTCCTTGGTCCCCAAGCGCGGTTGTAGGAGCAGGAAGAAATACACCAGCTTAAGAGTTTCTGCTTGAGCCAAAAGGTCTGCGCTTATTTTGCTTCAGTGCTGGCTAGGACCGCCCAGGGACTGGCTGCCCCCTTCCTCCTGTAGAGTTGAAGAAAGTCTGCTTAAAAGTGAGAAGTGATGAGAAATTATAAATGCTGCCGCGTGAGGGCTCACTAGTTGATAAATGGAAACTGGAGTTTTCCTTAAAAAAAAAAAAAAAAAACTTCTGGGAAAACACAAATGTCATTATTTGCCTCCCGCCCTTTGGTGTTGTATTTCTTCGTGGCAAGGTTGCACAGTGTTACAGACGTAATTGGTGAAAGGAAGAGGGTAGAGTCAGAAAACTGTTCAGGCATCAGCTCATCTTTTTTTGTCTGTGTTGATTCCGTGTTTCCTTTTTTTTTTGTCAAATAGAAATGAACAAAATAATTTTAACCTTTTTCATAGAATTTTTATTTTTTTAATTTTTAAAAAAGATTTTATTTATTTATTCACGAGAGACACAGAGAGGCAGAGACACAGGCAGAGGGAGAAGCAGGCTCCCTGTGAAGAGCCTGATTCCAGACTGGATCCCAGGATCCTGGTGATCCTGCCCTGAGCCAAAGGCAGAGGCTCAACCACTGAGCCACCCAGGTGCCCCTTCATAGAATTTTTAAAGCTAGATTACATTTTATTAAATGCTTTTGAGATAAAACTATGGACATTCAATACAAACATTCAATTTGTCTTTGCATTTTTTGTGTGTGAGTGTTTCTTTTTCCACCTTTGGGCGTTACTGAGAAATAAATCACATACGTATAGCTCACTTACTTTTTAAAATTTACTTTTCATTCTTATTACTTTATTAAGATTTTATTTACTGGGATCCCTGGGTGGCGCAGCGGTTTAGCGCCTGCCTTTGGCCCAGGGCGCGATCCTGGAGACCCTGGATCGAATCCCACGTCGGGCTCCTGGTGCATGGAGCCTGCTTCTCCCTCTGCCTGTGTCTCTGCCTCTCTCTTTCTCTCACTGTGTGCCTATCATAAATAAATAAAAATTAAAAAAAATTAAAAAAAAAAAAAAGATTTTATTTACTTAGAGCAATCAAGGGGGGAGGAACAGAGGGAGAGGCAGGCTCCAGGCTGAGCACAGAGCCCCACATGCGGCTGGATCCCAGGACCCAGAAGTCATGACCTGACTGAGCCACTCAGGCATCCCTATAGTTCAACCATTTAAAATATACAGTTCAGGGGTGCCTGCGTGGCTCACTGGGTGAAGTATCTGCTTTCAGCGCAGGTCATGATCCCAGGGTCCTAGGATCGAGTCCCACATCCAGCTCCCTGCTCAGCAGGGCATCTGCTTCTTTCTCTCACTCTCCCACTATTCTCTCCCTTTCTCTCTTAAATAAATAAAGTCTTTTTAAAAAATGGATTTTAGTACATTCACAAAGTTGTGGAACCATCACCACAGTCCATTTTAGGACATTTCCAATTCCCCAAAAAGAAGCCCATACCCATTAGGAATCATTCCCTATTTCCTCTTAACTTCCTCAGTTCTAGACAACCACTAGTCTGCTTTCTACTTTCTGTCTCTAAATTTGCCTGTTCTGGACATTTCATATAAATGGTATTCAATATGTGGTCTTTTATGATTGACTTCTTTTGCTCAGTATGTTTTTAAGGTTAATCCGGCTTGTAGCGTGTATTAGTTCTTCATTCCTCTTTATTGCCAAATTATATTCTGTTGTATGGATATACCACATTTTGATTGTCCATCAGTTGATGTTTCTACCTATGGCTCTTGTGAATGATGCTGCTGTGAACATTCATGTACAAGTTTTTATGTGCACATATGTTTTCATTTTTCTTTCCTTTTTTTTTTTAAGATTTTATTTATTCATGAGGCAGAGAGAGGGAGAGAGAGAGAGAGAGGGAGGGAGAAGCAGGCTCCATGCAGGGAGCCTGATGCGGGACTTGATCTCTGGTCTCCAGGATCACACCCTGGGCCAAAGTCAAGCACTAAACCACTGAGCCACCCAGAGATCCCCTGTTTTCATTTTTCTAGGTTATAAACCTAGCACTAAAATTGCTGGGTCGTATAGTAACTCTATGGTGAACATTTTGAGAAATTGTCCAACCGTTTTTCCAAAGTGGCTGTACTGATTTATGTACCCTTCAGCAATGTATAGGAGTTCCAATTTCTCCACTTCCCTATCAACATTTGTTACTATCTTTCTGATAAGAAACACTTTAATGGGTATAAAGTGGATTCTCATTATGGTTTTAATTTGTTTCCCTATTGACTAATGATGTTGAGCAACTCTGCATGTCCTTATTGGCCATTGGTAAACTTTCTTTGGAGGACATAGGATTTTTATAAGAACCACATTAGCTTGTAAGTGAAAGTTACCTTGAAAATTGCAGAGAACTAAGATATAAGGGGTTGTTAAAAGTCTTTGAGATATCTAAGCAAGTGTTAGTTCACCTTTCTGTTGAAATTAGAAATTAGCTTCACCATTTCATAGCACTTCTCTGCTGCCACCTCCTCCTAGGGTCAGATAAATGGCTTTAGTTTGAAAGATGTTTTTGTCAGGTTAAAAAAGTGCTGATATTTAGCATGTTTTGTACTTACAAGCACACAGAGTTAATCCTTTACAGTATCCTGGTGTCAGTGAGCTTTGTGACTTTAAATGGAAACAAGGAAAACAGTGACTGATTGACTCAAACTTAAAGCGAATAGTGATTAGCAGGTTTTCATTCATTCAGTAAATACTGAGCCATTGTTTATCCATGTTAAAATTATGAAATGTAATTTCTCCACAATGACATTTTCCCTGTTTTTTTTTTCAGTCTATTAAATACCCTTTCAAACTTAAATTCAAAAAAAAAAAAAAAACAAACTTAAATTCAATGCTTTAGAAAGAAGGGATTAACATTACTTGAGTCTACTTTCTGACTCTTAGGGCAAGTCCAGTCTGAAGGTTTTCTTAAACTTTGGTACTCAAAATGTATGCCCAGACCAGCAGCTTTGGTACCAGCATTGGTATTACCTGGACGCTTGTTAGAAATGCAATCTTAGAATATACCCCAAACCTACTAAATCAGAACCTATATTTTAATAACATTCCCAGGTGATTCGTTGCATATTGAAATGTAAGGGCATTGGTCTAGAGCTTTTAATTGCTTTTGTCTTAATGATCAGTTTATTTCTTCCATCATCCTTTTTTTTTTTAAGATTTATTTATTTATTTGAGAGAGAGCAGGGGGAGGGGCAGAGAGAGAGAATCTCAAGCAGATTCCCTTCTGAGTGAACAACCCATGGCAGGGCCCAATCCCACGACTCTGAGATCGTTAACGTGAGCTAAAAGCAAGAGTTGGGTGACTGAGCCACCCAGGTGCCCCCCATCGTCCTTTTTTTTTTTTTTAAACCATAGTTACTATGAACCTCCTCTGTATAGACAGAAATCAGTATGAGTTATCAAGAGGTATCATTACAGTTGAGCTTTCTTGTGTATGGTAGTGAAGAAAAGTATAACTTAAAATTCTAATCTGTAAATAGAATTTTTTTCTGTCAATAATACTTTGTTGGTGAGTAAATACCCCATCCTATATGTAATACCATATTTTACCAGTACAAAAGATGGAAAATTCAGGTTTTAAAAACATGGTTACACAATTAAATCTTGACCTCCCTGAAAGGTTAGACCTATTGACATTTGTTATTTGCCCTGGTGTAGATATATTCTAGGGGAAGGCAAAATACTCCAGGACTGGATCTTCTAGTTATTCTTTGGTCTTTTATGAGAGTTTATTAGTTCTCCTTCCCTTGTTTTTTTTTTTTTTTTAAGATTTTATTTTAGAAAGAGAGTATGAGTGGGAGGAGGGACTGAGGGAGAAGGGAAGAGAGAATCTCAAGCAGACTCTTCGCTAAGCATGGAGACTGAGGTGGTGCTCCATCTCACAACCCTGAGATCATGACCTGAGCCGAAACCCAGTCGGATGCTAAACCAATTGAGCTACTCAGGCACCCTGCTCCTTTCCTTGGTTATTAACCATAAGGAAGTATCGCTTTACCTCTCAGGACAGTAATGGTTAGTGACTTGATGTCCAGATAAATGTGCCCTAGCTTAATTCCTGTAACTGAGTCTTACCATTTTCCATAGATTCCCCTTTTATTTTTTCTGGAAACTGGTACCAAATCTTTAGATCGTTCCTGCTTGGAAGCACTTCTCTCCCTGTTCATCCATGGAATGTAGTTTTTCAGACATCCCCACTGATTCACTTTCTTTTATTCCATAGCCAGAAGAAATTCAACAACAGATTGTTCGAGAGACCTTCCATCTAGTTCTCAAGCGAGATGACAACATTTGTAACTTCTTGGAAGGTGGAAGGTAAATAATGGGCTTCAGTTTTCTATCCGTGTATCTACTGTTGGGTGTTCTTCATCACTGTTGCCTCTTCAAGTGGTACTCAAGTGTCAGGTGGGTACCTGAGCTGCCCAGGAAGAGACCCAGTTCTGTTTGGGAAGCTGTTGAATGATTGTGCTTCAGATATTACTCATTTAGATGTTTGGTTTCTGGGAAGATGGTAGAAGAAAAAGTGAGGTAAAGTGGTTTTAGGTACCTCTGCCAAACCTGGTTGCTGTTCCCCTGGTAGAAATGGCCTGTTGTTTGCCTGTCTTCCCCTTTCTGTTGCGCCCATTCTCATTCTTTGGCATGGAGTTTTCTTTGATACATTTAAGATACAGCCATTTAAACATTTCCCATCTTCCACAGTTTGATTGGTGGCTCTGACTACAAACTGATTTATCGGCACTATGCTACACTCTACTTTGTGTTTTGTGTGGATTCATCAGAGAGTGAACTTGGAATCTTGGACCTCATCCAGGTATGTGTAGTCAGCTAATGATGGCAGCCACTAATGAGAATTTGCACTGGATTTTTGAGTAACCATCCTGTAGATCTTTTTGTCAGTCTCTTTATTGATGCTGGTAAGAATTGCCAGATGTCCACCATATGGTGCTGTAAGAAAGCTCCTAGCAACCCTTAAAAACTAGAGCTTTTGGACTCATTGGTTTCTACTGAGCCCTCTCACTGCCTTTGGTTTTCATGTACAATTCTGACACCAATTCCAATGTGTGTGCTTCCCCCTCCACTACCACCTAGGAGTTAACTCAGTTCTCTGTGGGCAGTGACTAGGTGTCCCACAAATTTAACTCAATTCTGACACTATCTACCTGGAGATAGATACCAATCACAACTCCAGGGTGGTGTCACCTGTGCTTCTGACTGGCTATAGATCAGGGAGGTTCCCATGACTTCCTCCTTGGGTTTGATTTGCTAGAGTGGCTCATAGAACTCTTGAGAGGAACATGGTGCTTACTAGATTACCAGCTTACTATAAAAGGGTATAACTCAGGAATAGCCAGATGGAAGAGATTTACAGGGCAAGGAATGGGGAAGTGCGGAAAGGACATGCCCTTTCCAGTCAGGCCACTCTCCAAAGTCCACCAACCCGGAAGCTCTCCAAACAATGTCCTGTTGGGTTTCTCTGGAGATTGAGGGTGGGACTGAAAGTTCCAATCCTCTAATTGTATGGTTGGTTCTCTGACTACCAGCCTCCATTGTTAGGTGCTTTCTAAAAATCATCTTATTAACATAAACAGGACATCTTTATCATTTAAGAGCTCTATGCCAGAAACAGAGATGAATACCAAATATTTTCTTTTTTTTTTTTTAAGATTTTATTTATTTATTCATGAATGACACAGAGAGAGAGAGAGACACAGGCAGAGGGAGATGCAGGCTCCATACAGGGAGCCTGACGTGGGACTCGATCCTGTGTCTCCAGGATCGGGCCCTGGGTTGATGGCAGCACTAAACTGCTGAGCCACCCGGGCTGCCTCCAAATATTTTCTTATTATAAATTTTAGTATCACATCATCTTTTGAAATTTTTTTCAACTGTCAAACCGATTGACATTTAAGAATTCATACTTTTTATTTTCACTTGTAATTCTAGCCTAAGACAAAGAGACTTGATGTTTTAGTTAGTCTGTGCAATCTTAACATAGGTAAACATGATTTCTTTAGGATTTTTGAAAATGGCTTACAGATTTTTTAAAAGCTTTTATTTATTTACATGTTTATTTATTTGCAAGAGATGGAGAGAGATAGCAAGCATCAGCAGGGGGAGAGGCAGAGAGAGAAGCAGACACCCCACCAAGCAGGGAGTCTGATGCAGGGCTAGATCCTAGGAACCTAGGATCATGACTCAAGCCCAAGGCAGACACTTAACCTGACTGAGCCAACCAGGCGCTCCTGGAATTTTTTTTTTTTTTTTTTTTAAGTAATTTCTACATCCAGTGTAGGGCTCAAACTCAGAACCCTGAGAGCAAGAGTCACATACTGTATCAGTAAGTCAGCCAGGTGCCCCTATTCCATCATTTTATACATGAAATTTTAGGCAGGCTTCCTTTAAGTGACTTAAGTTTCTTAAGTAGAAAGCACTGAAATAGAAGCTTGCATTAAAACCTAATTAACAATTATAGAAAACTAGCTACAAAAATATAAATTTTACATTCAGAAAATCATTTTAAGATGATTGATTTAAAATCATGCTTATATTCGCATACAGTATATAACAGTACAAATTATCTAAAAAAGAGTATCTCTAAGATGATTTAAAAAGATTTTAAAAAAATATTTTATTTATTCATGAAAGACACAGAGAGGCAGAAACACAGGCAGAGGGAGAAGCAGGCTCCCCACGGGGACCCCAATGTGGGACCCGACCCCCAAACTGGGATCATGCCCTAGCCAAAGGCAGATGCCCAACCGCTGAGCCACCCAGACATCCCTAAAAAGCTTCTTTTCTTTTCTTTTCTTTTCTTTCTTTTCTTTCTTTTCTTTTCTTTTCTTTTTTTTTTTTAATATTTTTTATTTATTTATTAGAGATACAGAGAGAGAGAGAGATCCATGCTGGGAGCCTGATGTGGGACTCGATCCCGGCTCTCCAGGATCGCATCCTGGGCTGAAGGTGGCGCTAAACTGCTAAGCCACCGGGGCTGCCCCCTAAAAAGCTTTCTTAAAACACCTGAGTCAGATTGAACATTGAGAGTCAGTGTGGCATAATAGAAAGAGCTTAAGATCTAGAATCAGAAAACCTGCATTTGAGTCCTGGTTCTACCATCTGAATATAGAAGTAATAGGTTATAGGATTCAATTGTGACAATGTATTTTATAGTATTATAAACTATAGAATGCTATAGAAATGTGCATGTAATAAGTGTATTAGAAGAAAAAGGAAATATATAAAAAAGGAAATGATAATATATTTTTAAAACTAAGATGCAATTGTTGGAGGAAATGCACTCCCTACAGTGGAATGGGCATTTATTAAATAGTGTGCATTGGATTTGGGAAGATAGATATATAAAAGGTGAAAATAATAGGAACCCGGGTTTGTCTTTGAAAAGACAATAAAATTGAGGGATCCCTGGGTGGCGCAGCGGTTTAGCGCCTGCCTTTGGCCCAGGGAGCGATCCTGGAGACCCGGGATCGAGTCCCACGTCAGGTTCCCGGTGCATGGAGCCTGCTTCTCCCTCTGCCTATGTCTCTGCCTCTCTCTCTCTCTCTCTCTCTCTGTGTGACTATCATAAAAAGAAAAGAAAAGAAAAGACAATAAAATTGGGATGCCTGAGTGGCTTAGCGGTTTAGCGCCTGCCTTTGGCCCAGGGCGTGATCCTGGGGTCCCGGGATCAAGTCCCACATCGGGCTCCCTGCATGGAGCCTGCTTCTCCTTCTGTCTGTGTCTCTGCCTCTCTCTCTCTCTGTGTCTCTCATGAATAAATAAAATCCTTTTTTTAAAAAAAGAAAAAATCAATAAATAGTTGGCGTAATGTTTTGAGGATAAAAGTCAGAAAACATCAACATGTTTTTAGAAGATGATATACATAGTCATGTTTTTAGAAGATGATATACATAGTTGCATTACTAATGTATTTGAAATAGTTGAGTTCAAAACGTAAGTACCCAAATTAGATCAACAAGGCACTTAATCCAGTATCAGGATGAAATAAGAAAGGATTAAAAAAAACCTGACTCCATAATAGAGGAGTTAGAATTTTTTTTAATGTTGAAGTACAATAAAATCTCCATTGTATAAGGTATTTCCTAAACTGAGAATTAAAAAATCAGGCTACTTAAGCATATTTTACAGTGTAAATGGTTAGTATCCAAAAGCCTCTCAAAAAAAAAAATGTTACTCAAATATTGCATATTAGTTTTGGTACGCAATTACTCAAAGAAGATTTTAGCCAATAGTCATTTGTAGCAAGGAGTCAGGAGACCTAACTCTTGTTTCTATCTGCCCTATTAATAAGCATTGTGGCCTTAAATCATTTATGCATTTTTGGCTGTAGGGTTCTTGTTTTATGCTTTGGCTCCTCTGTGTTTCAATTTACAAGTATACTAGTTGTTCTTTTCTAGTTCTGAAAATACTCTTGGGAATACTGCATACTAAAAGAATGATTCATTGTGTCCAAATTGTCTTTATCCCAAGGATACAAGCCAGTTTAACAAGAGGAAAGTTCTTAGAATCTATTACAGCAGTAAGAAAGATAGTGGAGACTGACAAAGTTGAATCAGAGAGAAATGATTTTCCAAATTATATCCCTGAAATGCTCTCGAATTGGAATAGAAAGCATTTTTATTTGATTATATAGTGCATGTTTGTTTATTATAAACTGTTTATTGTTGAAGAAATAACACATTTATGTGGTTTAAAATTTTTCTTTTAAGCTTGTTAAACTTGTCCCCATACTGAACTTTATTATTAGCTCTAATGGCTTCTGAGTGATTATTTTGGATTTTTTAGGTATGTAATAATTTCATCTGCAAGCCACATAAAGCTAATCCTGCATTAACTGAACTTTTCCCTCAAAACGTACCTTTGCATTTCTTGGCCATTCATTCTTCCTGATAAATTCACAAAAAAGATATGCTAAACATACCAATATAGTTTCAAGAATGCCAGTAAAATGAAACTATCACCCAGATTAAGAAACAGTACATTGCTAGTTCCATAAATCAAAGCTCCTGTATACTCTTTCTTACTTCCATCCACTCATTCATTGCGTCCCTCCTCAGACTTTTGTGTTGGTCATCCCTTTGCTTCTCTTTATGGTTTTACCGTGTGATGTACATTCCCTAATGGTTATTTATCTTAGTTTGGAAAATCTGAGTGGCAGGCACAAAATTTAGCTGTGTAAGGTAAGGGTAACTTGCCACTTTTATTTTTTATTTTTATTTTTATTTTTTTTAAATTTTTATTTATGATAGTCACACAGAGAGAGAGAGAGAGAGAGAGAGGCAGAGACACAGGCAGAGGGAGAAGCAGGCTCCATGCACCGGGAGCCTGACGCGGGACTCGATCCCGGGCCCCCAGGATCGCGCCCTGGGCCAAAGGCAGGTGCCAAACCACTGCGCCACCCAGGGATCCCAACTTGCCACTTTTAGATGAAGGCTCCCAACAGAAGATAAGTTGAGCAGTGCCTCTGGGTCATGGTCTGGCTTCAGCATCCCTGAGAGTGTACCTAAGCTCCTTCTGGGTACATCTGAGGGCAAAGTCGTGTGAGTGCATCTGGAGATATAGCTTGCCATAGGCAAAGCATCAGGCTCTGGCTGTCTAGCAGAAACGTGGCCGGGAGGAATGGACACTCCACACTGTCTCTCAGCTTGTCCTGACCATACCCCTGGTTTTCTTTCTTTTCTTTTCTTTTTTCTTTTCTTTTTCTTTTCTTTTCTTGTCTTGTCTTGTCTTTTCTTTCTTTTCTTTCTTTCTTTTCCCTTTCCTTTTCTGTTCTTTTCTTTCTTTCTTTTATTTTCT